ACTATACAACACATGTTTTCAGAGAGATTTTGTTATAGAATAAGCATTTTAAAATTTGGAGGATGACATTATCTCTATGTGTTTTATCAAAGTGAATTTGTCTATATTCAAAGAAATTTTATGTATAAATATAATTGATAGTCATGAAGGTTATTATTGAAAATTTTCCTTAGTTGTATGATTGATTAGAAAGTTTATATTATAAACAAACCGCATGAACAGTCCTTTGGAATTTTTATTTTAAACAGAGCAGACATCAAAATGCATTATGCAGGTATGTAATACAACTACTATACATATTACAATATACAAAAATGTTAAACGGTTATTCAAGGTAGGGTTACCCATGAGACTAATACATGTAATTTGTACAACATAGTTACTAGAATCTATATAGGGGCTATTGCCCCTACAAGCCACTAGTAAGACTGTAAGTTCATACCAGACTTGATCTAGTACTTATTATTCATTCAGTTTAAAAGCCATACTTTTAATTGTTGGTTAAGTTTTCAAACCATTTTCTGTACCAGCCATTTGTTTTCAAACTTTCAAATCCGCGCATGCGCACTCGGGTCTACAGGTTGGTAGCGGAAGGGTAAAGAAACATTATTGTGGGAATCTTTCTGGTTGAGAAAATTGTACTTGGAGTGAACGCCCACGCATTCTGTTGAGCGTAGAACGATCTACCCTTGATGCCCCTTCAACTGCGGTGATACACTCTAGCAGTACTCTTCTGTCACAAAGTTGCATACTTAGGGCGCTCATAGCATTGACTAACAATGATTACTCGCAGAATGTGTGCAATTCCCGTAGCACAAGACGCCCCGGGGCAAAATGCCCTGTCGCATAAACACAGGGCCTTGCAGAGGGACAGGCACAGGGACAGAGCCTTGCCTGGTTTTGTGTGTGGCCGGCCTAAATCTTGTTTCCATAGTAACTAAAGTCAAAACATTAAGAAAATAAAACTCAGCTGCTCTTATATATATTGCTTTAGCAACATACTTCCCTACTTGACTTCCCTAGCAATAACTTCAATAACTTCCCTAGCCTTTGAAAAACGCATAACTTTTTGTAAAGTTTCCTCTGTCATGTTTGTTGTCATAACTATCAGTGCCATGCTGTCAGCCTTGGTAAAATTAGCTACATCTAAATCATACCTAGCCTTCTCCTCTTCTGTTGCTCCTGGATTTAGCTCCTTGGGCATTTGAAGATTCCCCTCCACAACGTCCAACGCTTTTGGTATGCTTCTTAGAAGTATGCATATTTTATATTTCCAAGTTGACCAATTTTTGCCATCAAAAAGTCCTACTTGCAGTTTGGTAATTTATATTTCCTAACAAATAATCTTGAAGAGGTTTACAAACAACACAAATATTTAATTTTGACTTTTGCAAAATAAATTAACATTGACACAAGTCAAACATGAAATTAGTTAGTGAATTCGAACCACGGGCTTCTGCTATCATCAAGAATCAAGAGTTTTATTGCCATTGGCCTTTCTTTGTACAAAGGAATAGACATAGTCAAAACACATTCAAAACATTCCAAATTACCAAATAAAATACAAAGTTTTACAAAATACTTACTTAATTAAAATATGACATATCTAGAGAATATGGATCATGTAGATACACATCAAAATTCAATATCAACTTTTGTTTTTAGAAATTAATGCCATAGAAAGGATTACTTATCAACCATTCACATAATTTAGATTTGAATATCTTGAAGGATACAGTTCTGGCCGAATCAGGCAATTTACTAAAAAAATTAATGCAGTTTAGTCTATGACTATTGCTACTTTTTTTTAGTCTATGAGCTGTTATGTCTAGCTGTAGTTTATTCCTTGTATTATGAGAATGAAAATCTTGTCTTATATTAAATTCATGTCTAGGTTAATTTTTGTATACTGCATAATTTGATAAATGTATAAATTAATTATTGTCATAATTCTAAGCCTGGTGAAAAGAGGTCTGCAGTGATCCACAGGACCCGCTCCACAAATGGTCCGAATGACTTTTTTCTATAAAATAAGAATTTCATCTGAATAAGACGAATGTCCCCACAGCATTAGTCCATAGGAAATATGTGACTGAAAAAAAGTAAAGTATGCCGTTCTTAAATAATCAAAAGTAATAAAATCTTTGACTTTCCAGATTAGGCAATTAACGCGGGAAATCTTTTTACAGAAGTTTTCTATTTGTTCTTTCCAATTTAATTTAGAATCTATACAAAAACCCAGCAATTTGACAGAGTGTTTTTCAATTTCATTGGAGAGGCCAATTAAAATATTTTGCATTTTATCCTGATTACATTTAAGCTTATTCGCTGAAAACCAAACAGAAGCTAGGTTTATGGTTTCATCGGTCATTGTATTTAGAGTATGAATGTCTTTATGAGTGACGATTATGGTAGTATCGTCTGCATATATTACAGAGTCAATCCCAACATTTCGAGGTAAATCGTTGATACATATTATAAATAGAAATGGTCCAAGGACCGAGCCCTGTGGAACACCAGAGACCACGTCTCTTAAGCCAGATTGCATTCCACCATCTGAAACATACTGCTTTCTATTACTTAAGTACGAATGAACGAAACCTAACAACTGTGCATCCTCAATGCCATTACTAAGCAAAATGTTATGAGGAACACAATCAAAAGCTTTTGTGAGGTCAAACAATGTGAGAGAAACAATTTCTTTGTCTTCAAAAGCATTTATTATTGTTTTATTAATGACTTTTAGAACTGCAAGAGCAGTTGACTTGCCTTCCCGGAATCCATATTGCGAATCTGTCAATATATTATTGTTTACAAAGTGCCCATTTAATTGTTCATAAACCACCGATTCAATGATTTTTTAGAAGATTGGGACAGTAGATATTGGTCTATAATTTTGAGGCAAAAGTTTATTCCCTTTCTTGAACACTGGTATCACCTTTGAAATTTTTAGAAACTCAGGACAGCTGCGAATCTTCAAAGATTTGTTTACACAAAAGGACAGTGGTTCACTTATTAAATGTATAGTCCGTTTTAGAACATAACTTGACAGCCAATAAAAATCCATGGTTTTTGAGTTTGAAAGCTTGGAAACAATTGTAACTATGTCATCTGATGATACTTCCCTCCAATTAAAAGTCAAAATGTCATGAGGGCTACCTAATAAATCCGATGGACATTTATTAACGACATCAATGCTGTTTTCCAGCTCCCTAACTGAATCAACAAAATAATCATTTAATTTGTCAGCATCTAAGTCCACAGACTTGGTACACATTGGTGAGTTTTCATGATTGATAACCTCCCATGCCGCTTTACATCTATTAAAAGCAAGTTCAATATGTTTTTCAAAAGCTTTTCTTTTGGATAATTTGAGCTCAGAATTGTACTCCTTCTTACATTTCAGGTAGATGTTATAAACATGTTGAGTGTTTTCACAGTTATTCTTTAATAATTGTTTATAAATTGAGAATGCTGCCATCATTTTTTCTCTGAGTTTTTTTCAATTTATCGTTGTACCAATTTAGTTTACTCTTTATAGATTTAAATTTGTTATTTTTAATACTAATTAAGGGGGAACTAGAGTGCCATAATTGAACATACTTCCTGAGAAACTCATCAAAAAGTGTTGCCTCATTAATATTACCCTAATGATAATTAATTAACAAACATGTTCCATTTTTCAGACTTTAAGCTCTCCATAAAACATGTTAAAGCCTCTTCATTTTGCCTTCTAACACATTGTTTGACAGAACTATTAGATATTCGTTTATCTATGCCATGGAAAAATTTAAACAGCAAAACACTATGATCAGCAAAACATCCATGTAAAGAAAAACTATTCGTTTGGTTGCTAAATAAAACTGACGATTTTTATTACAATATTCACTTTATTAATGAAACTACATTTTTATCTTGTAGACCTACAACAGACATCTTGTGTAGAAGTTACATGACTCGATTGACGAAAAAACATGACACCTAAGTTATTCTTATTTTACAGTATTGCCACTCTACAGCATAGTACAATCAAAAATACAAGTTGAGTTTGACCATAGACAAAAAGAATGAAATATAGACCGTCAGCTGTGCTGCGGTTACCATAGGTTCTGGCGCACACCGCTGGGATCGCCACGGTAGTTACAGCGTACGTGCTACGTAAACTACAGCGGTGTGCGCCGGAACTTATGGTAACCATGGTAACCGCAGCACGGCTGACAGTCACTCATACCGGCTGTTTCATTCTTTTTGTCTATGGTTTGACATATATAGTACAGAGTGGTTATTTTCTATAATCCATGAATTAAGTAAGTCTAACTGATACATATCTGTTGAGAAATTAACAATAACATTAAACTTATCTAGGCAAGCTGTGCCACGTGTTGGTCTATTATTAGTACAAGTCAAATTAAGGCTACGTAACAAATTAAAGAATTTAAATGATGACCTATCTCTCCCTGCTCCCATTTCTATATTGAAATCCCCACATACTGAAATTAATTTACCTAGTTTCAAAAGTATTAGATCTCCAGCAGGAAATCGGTAAACATTTAAAACAACCTTATTCAAATGAATTAATCTTATACAAGTTAGTTCACAGTGTAATTCTAAATAAAAGTTACTGACATCTATTATTTCAAAATCTATTCTACTTTCTACAAAAATACCTGAACCTCAATTTTTCATATTTACGCTACACCTAATATCTCCCACTACAAATCGATCTGGTATAAAATAATTTACTTCATCTTCTTTAAGCCAATGCTCTGATACACAAATAATATTTACTCCTTCCTGAAAACAAAATTCTTCAAGCTGTATTTTTTTGTTTCTTATACTTTGTATATTAAGCTGCTCATATAAAGTGAAGAATGCTGAAGTAGGCTCCTTGCTACCCAAGAGAATTATTATTTCTCTATTTTAATCCTTTTTGAAGCATATGGTTATTGTACTAGAACATACCTCTGTGTTTTAAATATCACATTTTAACCGATTTTCAGAGAGTACGTGAGAGGTGCGAGGGTTCGACTGAGTATTAAGGACCTGGAGCTGTCCTCTAGATTCCTCGGAGCCCAGAAGGACTTGACGTTGTTGGAGGCAGATGCAATATTGCTGGGTCTAGTGTCTTCTCCTGCTAAAGTTACAATGTCCAAAAAGCAATAGATTTTTCTACAATAAAATAGTCTGTATTATGTTACTACACATTGTGTTTTTTGTTGCTCCTCCCTTTTGTTGCATTGTTGCTCCTCTTGTCTGAAAAATTCAAAGATTGGCTCTGAGTGCCTTTCAGAGCTTATTTTTCTTGTTAAATTAAAATTATCAATTTTATGTTAGCCTACTTAAAATTAACAGTGTTTCTTGTTTTATATATTGGTTTCCTTCCGTTGGAGTCGTGTATTAGTTGCTTCTGATGTGTCAATGAAATACAATTGTAAAATAATGAGTAAATCAATAACACAACATATTAACAAATGGAAACGTGCACACGTTTTGGCCTGAGCCCGGAGAACGACGAATCAGAGCTTAAATCATACAGCCAAACATTGCACATCTTTTCCCTGAGTTTAAAATTGAAGATTTGTTTTGTAATCTTACGAATTCTGTTATAGTTTCCATTTTGAGAACCACATGTAAAGGTTAAATTATTATTTATTATTATGAAGGCAACTCCCCATTTCGCGGTAGTAAGTCAGAAATATATCTATATGAATTTGTCCCTGAATTTTAAGACAGTAAGGCCCATTTCCCGGAATCTCTTTTTGTGTAGCGGAAAGCGACGCAAAAACCATTGCACTGTTGTATTGCCTTATGTTTTTTATGAAGTTCGAATCATGTAAAAACAGTTCTTTTAGTTTGTCATTATTTGTGGTTGTGGCATGTCTATTGTGGCAACATGCGTTGAAATATCCATTTATGGCCTCCTCTGCGAAGTGAAATGCGCCACAATGCATGCAAGTGCTTTAAGAGGACCTAGATTGTGAGAAACAACACTCAACTCATTTTCCAGCGTTCTTCTAAAGACACGTTGTAAAACAGCTTCTGGATTTCTTTCACAGTTAGGCCCTACATGACGTTCACTTTTGCATTTCTTAAGTCTCTTGAATTCCTGGACACTCTTCCACGTCTTGCAGATCTTCCCCTACCCTGTCTAGTTACTTCACTCATTATAAAAACAGAAAACAAAAAAATTAAACACAATTCATTTTGAAACATTATTTACCAACATTGACTTTCGGAATAAATGTAAACATTGCAAATAAATAAGTAACAGCTGATAGAATGCAGACGTTTTTCAGTCCCCATGCATTTCTTATGGTGGATATTTTACGTTATATCTCGTTTTCTGGTAATTTTGTGGGAATTCTGCTATTTTCCCCAAGTCCCTGGGGTCAAGACCTTTGATTTAAGACCTCTCCCACTTTTCTGCGACTTACCAGACGTCCACAATTTTCTGGTAAAAATTTGGTCTTACAGAATTATATAGACGAGATGCATTTTGTCATGTATGAGAATTCATTTCGTTCATTCAATAATTTGCATTTATCCTTTTTAAGACTCGTGTACAGAGCCTCGATTTGTACTGTGGTTGAATTAATTTTGGTCTAAACTATTTTAAACTGTGGTCTAATTATCTCTACTAATCTTACTTATTTACTATAATCAAAGATTACATATGTAATCTTTGCTATAATCAATGACAAAATAAGAGTAAATAAAATAACCTCATAGTTCCATAGTTTATATTTAACCAGCTGTTAGTTAAAACAAATTAAATATTGCTCTAAAACCAATCGAAGATTACAAAGATTGCTTTAAAAAATAATTTGAACATCCTAGTATTTTACTATGTATATTTAATAAATCTGTCATCCTCTTACAGAAGAATTGAACGTATCAATGATTAGGATTACACATAGTATAAATAAGTCAACCCTGAGTATTTTTATCCAAATGCTGAATTTGTGACACAAAAGCTGAATGTTTACAGCTGTTATGTTAAGCAAATTATTTTATGCCAAAAGCTAGTTTTGAATCTTAGCGTCGGCTGCTAGACTTTTTAAAAATTAAAACTTAATTTTAACTTAAAATTATGGCTTCGACATTCCCTAGTTCTCAAAATCATCTTTCTTTCAACACAAAAATCATGAAAATCCGTCGAGTGGTTGATTCAGAATCGTGAAATAAAAAACACTGTTTCGTTTTAATATTATAGATTATTATAGTAAACCTTCATTTGATATTTCATTATCAGCACTAGTAGTGGTGAACCCACAAAGATACCCCACTTTCGGCGTTTTAGAGGCACTTTTAGGGCACTTTTTATAGGGGAAAAATGAGAAAAAAGTGGAAGAGCTTTTTTTGGCCACTTTTTTTAAAGACCCAGCTCTCGACCTATACACCCCTATATAAATTTTCTACTTTTTTAATACTGAAAAACATGTCTGGAAATGGTGAGCTTTTTTTGGCCACTTTTTTAAAGACCTGGATCTCGTCCAATACAAGCCTATATAAATGTTCAAACTCCATTAAAATTTCAAATCCACATCCATTCCCATGTATATTTTCAAAATCATGTGAGGTTTGTGCGTGAACTCGGGCATGCTCCCGGCTCATGATGAGCTCCCTTGGACATCCTTAGTGGAAATCCATGAGTTCTGGCTACTTGGGAACCCAAGCCATTTGACATACAACGAATCACCCTTTTTCCTAATTATCTTCTCTACCAAATACATGTCCTTATACTTGGTCTTTAACAACTCCTCTGTATAGAAGCCTCCCCTGATTATATTGCCATTTTCATCTTTCAAGATATAAGTCACAGGCTTTGTATTCTTAACTTCTGCTATTATAATAGTTCCCCTGTCCAATTTGGAGTATAACCTTTACTAAAAACATGTTTATACTTGGAAATCCTTACGCTATCACCTACCTTATATCTTGGCTTTTTAACTTGCTCTACTTTAGAAGTCAACCTCTCATGCACATATTTACTATTCTTAACATTTACTTGGTTAGGCTTCATTCCTATAGATCTATGCACTTTATTATTATATTTTCGAATTAACTTTGGAAGTAAATCCAACCATTTATAACTCCCCTGAGCACTAAATTCCCTATATAACCAATTCTTTAAAGTTCTCTGAAACCTCTCCACAATTGCAGCCTTAGTTGTAGAAAATGTGTGATAGTGATTAATATTTAATTTTTTCATTAGTTTGCTAAAATATTGATTAAAAAATTCTTTTCCATTGTCAGATTGAATGTTTTTAACCCCCTTTGGTAGAATGGTTTTAATGGCTTCTGTAACCACCAACCCTGTCTTATTCTTTAGTGGAGCAGCATAAGCTTTTTTAGAAAATGTATCTATTAAAGTTAAAATATATTTATTGCCAGAATTTTCTCTAGCATAGTTTTGCATATCAATTAAATCTATTTGTATGGTTTCGTTTATACCCAATACTTTAAAAGACCTTCTAATGAAATTCTTTCTTGCAGGCTTATGAAGTTCGTATGCAATTTCATTCATTTTTTATAACATCATCCTTTCCTGTAACTCTAAATACATCACCATTAGCCCCAATCAATAGATTATCTTCCATTCTTTTAAATACATAGTTTTCTGGTATATATGGTCTATTATCTATATACTTAAATCCACTCAAAGATGTGGGGTCAGCAACTAATAAATCAGGATTATATTCCATCAAATTAAAACTTTTTTCTCCATATACAAATTTTGATCCATCGTAATGCATAGATTGTGACATTAGACAAATATCATCCAAATGTTCCCCCTCTGGTAGATTTCTTATAAATTGTTTTTTGGCATCCCAACATTTTTCTTTTTTATCAAAAGTTATAGTCTGTTCTTTTATAACACAGTCAGTTTCATCAATGGCAGGTTTAACACGTACTAACCTTTTACTATTAAAACTCCAATAGCCTGCTTCCATTTTTGGAACTTGTGAAACATTTACAGCATCTTTACTATCTGTACCTTCCATAAAATTACTAATTTTCTGTTTCTTTGCATTCCAAACACCATTCTCTGATTCTAAAAATTCATAATTATTATCGTCTTGTACAAATTTACCATCTTCTTTTCGTATTAAAGTCTGGTGTAAAGTGGGCACATCATTTAAACTTTCACCCTTTTCCACATTAGTAATTTTCCGTTTCTTAGCATTCCAAACACCATTCTCTGATTCTAAAAATTCATAATTATTATTATCTTGTACAAATATACCACCATCTTTACGTATTAAAGTCTGTTGTAAAGTGGGCACATCATCTAAACCTTCAGCCCGTTCCACATTAGTAATTTTCTGTTTTTTAGCATTCCAATTTTTATTCTTAGATTCTAAAAACTCAAATTTAGTTTTACCTTGTAAAAAGATATCACCTTTTCTAGTTAATGTCTGTCCCAAAGTTGATACATCATCTACAAACTCCCCATCTTTAACATTACCAATTTTATGGTTTAAACCATTCCAACTATCGTCTTGTAAATTTAAAGTAGGTTCACTACTAGCCCTGGGTTCTGCAGGCTTATTATATGGATTATATAAACGATAAAATTTATCTATAAACATATTTTTATTTAATAAATAATTCCACTTTCTCTCAATTCCTCAATAATGGAATCTATTTCATTATCCACTCCTGAGTTACCGGCTTGGCGACTTAGCCAAAGAAGTCTTAACCTATCTACAAGCTCATTAGGATCATCCCAATAAATATAGTCTATTTTATTACCAGTCACTTGTCTCAAACCTTCACCAACAGATTTAAAAAGAGGTTTAATTATATTAAGATATTTAGTATGTTTATTACTTGAAATTGGTGCACCATCTTTGTAACTCTTTAAATGTCCATTTGTAGCTTCCAAAATTTCTTTATAATTTTGCAAATCAGCCGGAGTATAATCCTCAGGTTCTTTTAAAGTTAACAATTGCCACAAACCTTTTGTCCCCTTGTAGGTTTTTTTGCAATTGTAACATCATCATTGGCAATATCAACTTCCTTATTTCCAATAAAAAATTTATTTGCTTCTCGTCTAATACCATATGTAGTGTCTGTCATACTACTTTTACTGAGGTAATTTCCTAAATAGTCTGATGCTAAAAGACCAAAATCTAATTTCTGTGGGGTGGATTGTTGTAATGGTTGCAATCTTGGTATTATTGGTATTCTAGATGGAG